AAACAAATAAATAAGACAAATTTGGGGTTGAAGAACAAGTACTGACTTTGTCACAGTAAGGTTCTTTATCTACTATACATTCCAGCCATCATACAGAATTTGGGGTCACTCCCCTCACTTGACTTTGTATTTCTCACCTCACCTGCTGGCTAGGCAGAATGTCCCTCCCTCTTTCTCTCAGGGCCTTCCACACAGCCTTATATTCCAGAATATTAAGGCAGAAAATCCCACATTATCTAAGTGTGGACTCTGATAACCCAGTTCAAAGCAGATATAGGATTTTCTGCCTTGATATTCTGGAATATAGGGCTGTGTGGAAGGGCTCTCAGTGAATTCAACTAAAAATTTTGTTTCCTCTGGGTCTGTGACAGTTCTTATGCACTTATATAGGGCATGTCCAGACAAGGGTAAAACCCGTGCCAAAGTGGTTTTTGTCCTCATAAGCTTTCCTGGGAGGATTGGTGGCTACATGCCATCCTGGTAGCTACTGAGATGGCATACAGCCACCTAGAAGCTCCGCAAAGCAACCCTTAAAATTAAAAAATAAACTTGCCGAGTCGCCATTGAGGTACTTCTTCAGTGCTTGTGGTGCAAAAAAATAATAATGATGAGCCAGGAAACTAGGGGTGAGGAAAAAAAATGCTTCTCCCCAATCTCCTGGCACATCATTTCTTCGAGCTAGGAGGACTGAAGGAGTACCTGAATGGTTGCTGGGTAGGTTTTTTTTTTATTTTTAAGGGTTGTTTTGGGGGACACGGGGGAAGGGGGTTGGTGCCATCCCACACATTTGGGCTCCAGGAGCCCAAAAGGTGCAAGATGGCTGTGGGAACTGACCCCTGGGTAGTTCCAGTTAGTCCTGGAACTACCTGCGGGTGAGTCCCCACAGGCCCAATACCCCCTTCGACCCAAATCTTTCAGGAAGGCCCAGATCTAATGGGGGTATTTAATTACTTTGGAAAAACCAAGGTTATTGCAAATTAATTAGTTTTTACCGGGGCATTGTTTGGACTCTCCCAGTAAAAACCCAGACAGGTTCTGGGATATGGGGCTGTCTGCATGGGCCCATAGTCTCCCTGCATTAGAAACAGAACAGCATCTGTTTCTGAGGAAGAAGAGAACAAAGACTGTAATAAGCCACCAAGATTTTCAATGATAACTGGCACCAATGAAACCTTTTCTGTTATCTTTGCCAGAACAAACAAAACATTGAAGAATTTGCAACCTGGGGAATTAAAGTACAATGGGACAGTAGCCAGTAGAGCATTAGCTTGGCATTCCATACTACAGCTCAGAAGGACTGTATATGACATAAAGCATGATCCGTTCCTAAGTATGTTTACTTATAAGTGTGTCCCAGAATCAATAGGCAATCAAATATTTGTATGAATGACACTTACGTCAGCTTATAAAAAGTGGTACTCAGATTAAGTTTTCCATACTTTTATATTATTTGATATCTGCTTTGTCAAAAGGCAATATTTAATGAGATGATCCAAGCTAAAATCTGATAATCATCCACAGCATAGCACCAAACTCTAGAACAAGGGCAGACAAAATGCAGACCTTCAGTAGCTTTGGACTTCCAGCAGCCTGGCTTTCACAGTCAATGGAGAGGGATTAATGGAGCTGAAGTCCAGAATAGTTGGAGCTCTACTTTCTAGCGACTCCTATCAGGAGATGACCAAAAGCTAAAGGAAAATAAATCCATGATGAGCCTACTGAAATTACACCTATGGTTTCCAATGTCGTGTAGATAGTTCATTTCTATCTCAGTCATGTTCCAATATTTTCCCTTTGATTTCTCCCATATAAGTGAATGGTTGCCATTCATTACAATGAGAAAAAAAGTACAGAACTCATAGTTTGTACTGTGGAAAAGACAGCGGAACACACAAGTCTTTACTGAAAAAACCCTGCAGTGGAGGACATCCCTTAAAGCAGTGGTAGGAAACGAGATCCATACAACAATAGAGCTCCTAAGTATGATTCCCTCTACTCCACCCCATTTTACAAAAGGATTGTTGCAATGCAAGCTTCAACAGAAATCCAACCCATCACAATGAGCATCACTGAGTTAGAAGCATGATAGTATATCATTAGGCATTGTGAAAGTAGGCATAACACAACATTGGCGGCAGCAGGGGGAGGGGAAATGCTTAATTTTTTTCCATCCCACCTGGTGCAAGAGTTCAGAATTTGGGGGCTTTGAATTCATCTGAATCCAAAGGGGAAAAGGGTGATTGGCGTCCAGACATTCCTGAATGTTAAGACGAAATTATTCATTGTAAAATACTGGGGGAGCACAAAGCGCTTTGCAAAGGGAGGAGAGCATGTCATTCAGACTCTCCATGCCATGATAGTGAGAGGAAGACAAAGGCGTAGAAACGTGGTGTGACAGACTGGTTCAGCCACTCTTTGCCAGTTCCCACATTGGCTCAGCCGGCCAGACGTCGGCAAGATTAGGGACAGACCCCGGTATATGATAAAAGGCACTCCTTCAAAGGCCACACTGGAGGTAACAGGCCATTCAGCTCTTTCTCTACCTCCTCCTTAGCATCATACTACTGCTGGGATGACAAATGTGTCAGCTGAGGCTGGGTGAGAACAAGGCAAGCAAAGGCAGTGCATGTGCATAGGGGGCAACACTTAGTGGCACATTAATGAATTTATGAAAAGCTGTTCCAGGAAACAATAATTATCAGCATCCAAACTGGCTATTAAGCTCTAGAGAAAGAAATACCCTCCAAACATTTGTGTCTTTTTCCCATCAGAGGACATCTCCACACCCACTTCAGTCCTATTTTCCCTTTGCTTTTGTCTTCTTTGCAGATGTCTGGGGAGGCAGAAAATACAACTCAGCTCCCTTGATAGTATTACATATCTCCCAGTTCTTGAGTGCAGCATCTAAGCAGGTCTTGTTCCTTTTGGTGGTTGTGATGCCTATGGCATGGAACAACTAGAATGGCACCCTGTCAGCGGAACGCTTCCCCAGCCACCCAGGTGTGGCTCATGTGGGAGCTACCTGGAAAGTTTACTTTCCTTGCCCATGACACAGCCAGAGAAATCTAGAATCACCTGTTTCTTGGGTCACAATGTGCAGCCAAGGAATGTTTCCCTGGCAGCTGGCCTCAGGGTTGCAACCAGCATTGCCTGCTTGACAGCAAGGCTTTCTCTCAGCTGGCAGAGAGGAAAAAGACAGGGGGGCCCTAGGAGGGAGACACCCTGCCACCCCCCATTTCTTTTTGAAGGGGATCCCGGTATATTTGTCTGTGGATACTTGTTTCTCAAAGTCAAATCCCATTGACTTATTTTCGGCTTCAATGGCCATTGGCCATCCAGGAACCCAAGAAAAGAGTTACCTCCAGATTCTGGAGTTAACAACATCTGACTACAAAAAAGCATGTGAAATGTGTTCAAAGGAGGGTGACTAAAATGATCAAGGGCCTGGAGAACAAGCACTATGAGGAGCAGCTTAAAGAGCTGGGCATGTTTAACCTTCAGAAGAGAAGGCTGAGAGGATACAAGATGGCTATGTATAAATATGTGAGGGAAAGTCATAGGGAGGAGGGAGCAAACTTGTTTTCTGCTGCCCTGAAGACTAGGATGTGGAATAACGGCTTCAAAGTACAGGAAAGGAGATTCCATCTGAACATGAAGAAGAACTTCTTGGCTGTGAAAGCTGTTCAGCAGTGGAACTCTCTGCCCCAGAGTGTGGTGAAAGCTCCTTCTTTGGAGGCTTTTAAACAGAGGCTGGATGGCCATCTTTTGGGGATGCTTTGAATATGATTTTCCTGCTTCTTGGCAGGGGGTTGGATTGGATGGCCCACAAGGTCTCTTCCAACTCTATGACTCTGTCAATGAGCTCTGAGTCCTTCCAAAGGTTGGCATAGCAGGTAGCTAGTCTAAAAAGGTGACTGGTTTCATGTCTGGCATACCAAAAGTATTTCCCCAAAACAGAATGAGATTGGGGGAGTGATAAGAACATTAGTCCACGCTACTAACAGCATCATGGCAAAAAGGGAGGGGTGAGATATTGAGGGGGAGATCTGTATGGTACAGTGGGTTGAGTGTTGGAATATGACTCTGAAAACCAGAGTTTGAATCCCTGCTTGGCCATGGAAATTCACTGGGCGACCTTGGGCAATTCAGACTCTCTTAGTCTCAAATCTTGAACAATGCACATTTTCACAGCCTCAGATGAAGGCAATAACAAAACCCTTTGGAATTTTTTTTTGTAAAGTTGAGTTTGCTTTGGGTCCCCCTAAATCTGAAATGACACAACAGCACATTCCAAAATGGATCTTTTCTTTATTTGCTGCCGGGGCCACAAAACGAGTACTTTCCTGCACCTGATTGATCTGAACCACAATATTTCACACAACCTGTTTCTGACCTGTTTGGAAATTGTCTAGAAATGAGTGGCTTTCTTTAAACACCGCCTTGATTTGTTTTATGGCTTCTAGAGTACATTCCATCATTTCTTTTTTCACATAAAGATGGCACTGTGTCTTACACTTGTATATGAAAGAGACGGGGAATTGACTGACACATACATACTGAGATAGACCATCTCCCCAGACTAGTGATGCTCCTGCCATTTCTCTGCCTGTCTGTTTGAACTCTGCCCTGGGACGCCCACTGATGGCATCACGCCAACATACAAAGGGGCAATGGCACCGATTGCAAAGAAGAGCAAGGAGGCTGAACCCTGGAGTCGCCAAGTCTGTGGCTGTGTATGTGTGTCTCCCTGTGTGGAAGTGCTCGCAGCACTGAACATGCCTGCCAAACGTGTGCCTGTGGGAAGGAAGGGGAAAGGTTCCCAAGGCGCAGGTGCCTGTGTATTGGCACTCTTTTTCAAGCAGGGCGCCCAAGCCCATCCCTGGCCCCTCCTGCTGTGCCCTCCCCATCCCAAGAAGCCCAACCTGGGCTCTCCCCTTCTTCTCCTCCTCCTCCTTTTTCCTCCTGCGGGCAAAGCAAAGGAAGAGGCAAGTGCTACTCACTGCTGGTGCTGCTCATGTCGGGCTGGCGCGGGTCTTCTCATTCAACAAAGGCAGGCAGGGGGTCCGTTAGGATTCTCTCCAATGGGTTTCCCTTTGGAGTGGATCTCCTCCTCTCTCTCTCTCTCTCGTCCTTTTTTGGAGAAGAGCGCCAACCCAAAACGGGGGGAGAAGGAGAGGGAACACAGTCTCCACTGGAGAAAGCGCGCTGCCTGCCGCCGCCTCTCCTCTTCTAATTCATTCCTCGCAGGTGTCTCCGGGATCCCCTGCGATCCTCCTCCCTCCCTCCCTTCCCGCTTGGTTCTTGGCGCTGAAGCCCAAGGAGGGAGGATAAGAAGGTCAGGGCGGGGTGAGGAAGGAGAGGGGCGGGGGGAGAGGAGAAGGGGAGGCAAGGCAAGGGAAGCCGGCGCCGCCTCCGCCCGGGAGCCCGTGCCAGGCAAGGTGCCCCTCCGAGCCCGGACCAAGGCAGCCCTCCCGGGGACAGCCGCCCGCCCGCCCGGCTCTCAGGCAAGCAGGCAGGAGAGGCGGGGGAGCGCGGTTTCGGCTCGCCTCTGCGCCTCCTTGGGCAGCTCCAGGGGGCGGGGATCGGGGGGAGAAGCGAGCGGAGCGGAGCGGGGAGTGGGCGCCTAGGTCGCCGGCTCGCTCGGCCACGCAGCCAGGCCCTCCCCGCGCCTCTCCTGCCCTCCTTCCTCCAGCCTCGGAGCGATTCCACGCCCAGCTCGCTCTCCCTCGCCTCCTTCCCCGCCAAGTTTGTGGGCACCACCACCAGCAGCACCAGCAGCCTCTTTCAGGTGCAGCGGGGGGAATACCTCCTCCTTTGCATCCACTCTGCCCGGCTGGCTGGCTGGCTGGCAGGCTGGCTGCAAATTGGGATGCGAAAGGAGGGAAGGAGAGAGGGAGGGACACGCATCTCCGTGGGGCTGGGTTTGCTTCCCTGCCGGAGGGAGGAAGGGAAAGGAAGGTGGGGTGGAGAGGCCTTCTGCCCCCTGCTGGCCACGCGGAGAGGTGCTCCTGCCCGGGCCACGCACCCGGTTCACGCGGGAAGCAGGAAAGCAAGGAGGGGAGGGAGGGAGGGCCACGGAAGGCGGAGGCCCCTCCCCTCACATATATGTAAACATATATGCACATCAAAAGGTACACGTAAAAATTTCCCCTTGACATTAACTCTAGTCATGTCCAACTCTGGGGGTGGTGGACATACACACATATATGTTAGTATACACACGTACATGCATAGTAAACGTAAAGGTTTCCCCTTGACATTAAATCTAGTTGTGTCCACTCTGAGGGCTGATGCACGTATACATATTAGTATATACACATACATGCATATGAAAGGTAAAGGTTTCCCCTTGACATTAAGTCTAGCCGTATCCAACTCTGGGAGGAGGGTTGCACATACATGCACACACATTTTAGTATGCACACATACATGCATACTAAAGGTAAAGGTTTCCCCTTGACAATACGTCTAGTCGTGTCCACTCTGCGGGCTGGTGCACCAGCCCGCAGAGTGGACACAACTAGACTTAATGTCAAGGGGAACCCGGGGGAACCCCCTTCCCCAAAAGTTGGATATGGCTAGACATAATGTCAAAGGGAAAGCACCCCATTTTAGTATACACACATACATGCATATGAAGGGTAAAGCTTTCTCTTTGACATTATGTCTAGCCATACCCAACTTTTGGGGAGGGGGGGGGGTTGCACATAAACACACACACATATTAGTATACACACATACATGCATACTAAAGGCAAAGGTTTCCCCTGAGATTAAATCTAGACATGTCTGACTCTGGAGGTTGGTGCTCATCTCATTTCTAAGCCAAAGAGATGGCGTTGTCCGCAAACACCTCCAAGGTCATGTGGCCGGCATGACAGCATGGAGCACCATCACCTTCCCATCAAAGTGGTACCTATTGATCTACTCACATTTGCATGTTTTCAAACTGCTAGGTTGGCTGTTAGCTTGGGCTAACAGTGGGAGCTCATCCTGCTCCCCGGATTTGAACCACCGACCCTTCAATCAACAAGTTCAGCAGCTCAGTGGTTTAACCCGCTGCCCCACCAAGGGGCCACATACATGCATATATTTTTATATTCACATATATACATTCATTATGTGTTTTCACCCCAACTTATGACAAGCCCAAGGGCTATTATGGGGATTTTATGACAAGATTTGCTCAGAGGGATTTGGCCTCCACCTTCCTCTGAGGCTGAGAGCATGTGACCTGGGCAAGGGCAACCAGGGAGGATCCATGGATGAATGAGGATTCAAACCATGTGACCTCATCACACGAGGCTTTTTTGGCACCCAAGGACACTTCTCTGCCAGTCCAGTAATGGATGGGCACACTGCCCACCCCACAACATAACTGGACATCTGGCAGAGGCCCCACCTACAACTGAAATGGAAGTGTCACACAACGTTTCCCCATGGCTGGAACCAAGCACAAGCCTCCAAGATGGCAAAGATGGGAAAGCCTATATATACCTCTATCTATGTGCAGTTGTCTGTCTTGTCAGTGTATAACGGCATTGAATGTTTGCCGTGTATTTGTTCTGTGATCTGCCCTGAGTCCCCTTCAGGGTGAGAAGGGCAAAATATAAATGCTATAAATAAATAAAGAGACCTTGGCCACAGCATCCTGTGCTTTCATGAATTCACATTTGGACGTCATGGGCTCTACGGGGAGCAGAGCCTGAGGACAGCCCAGAGATGTCTGCCATTGGTGTAAAATGGCATTGATTGCTTCATAGGCAGTAGGAAAAGTCCAAATAACATTATATCCAATTTCTACTAATTGCCTATTCATTCCCTTTTCAGCTTCATTCAAAGTCCCATAAGATTTGGATCCCAAGTGCTTTTTGGATCACCTTGCCCCGTTTGTATGAGTCTAACTTTTGAAATCTTGGAGCAGACCTTTGCTCATGGTTTCCTGTATGGGCACTGGGTTTCCAAGTCAGGCCTATCCCAGACACTGAGATTTCAGGACTCGACCCTTGTCAGATCTCACAGGAGAGGTGCATAGGTAATCTTACAGGGGCAATAAAGGACAGTCCCTGGTCATGTCATTGAGTGCCAAACTTGAAATATCTATCACAGGTGCATGCAGTAGACTTTTCAAACCAATATTTTAAGGCACTGTTCTCACTCTGAGATTCCTCCTCTCACCCTTGTATCTGGAGAAGAGTCCAGAGTTGTGGGAATCCTCATAGGGATTACTTGGGAGCAATAATGCAAGCAAGGGCCCTCCCATTTGTGACACCTTGGCTGGAAACCTCCTACTTTTGATGATGTGTTAGGCAACTTCAATAATTATTCTGTTTATTATGTTTATGCTTATTTATAACCCGCTTTTTGTCTCTACAAGGAGTCTCAAAGCAGCTAGTTAGATTTCATCATCTGTTGTGTCTACAATCCATTAAAGGTTATCCCAGAAATTTAATTCTCCTAGCTAGTCTCAAAAGTACTACTTGATTTTAAATGTCTTTTTATATTAAAACAGACTTAACATGGCCATCTCTTTGAATGCATTCCATCAGGTCCGAAGCTACAACTGGCAAAATGCCTTATCCAGGTTTGGCTGTAATGCTGCTACAGTGTATTCTCTTGCCTTGTGATATATCTTTTTTTACTTGATACATTATTACTGTTTTAATAATATGCCTTTTTGTGATTGTATCCTATATATTTTTTTGTAAATTACTTTGTGGTTCATTAAAAGTGGCAATATAATAAATTAATAAATAAATAAATCTTTTGCCAAGTCTTTTTTTCAGCAGACTTCTATTCATAAGAAACCATGTTTTGTGGATTCATTTTGCTTTGGTTTGGTTTTTGCTTTGTTTGATAGCTTGTTTAAAGGGTCTTCATCATTAGTTGGTGCCTTACCCCTAACTTATCAGGAACATGACTATCACAAGAGCTGTGGCCCTTTGAGAAGAATATAAGTCATATTGTGTTGTTGTTGTTGTGCACTTTGTGGCTATCTCCAGCTGATGGTGACTCTAAGGTAAAACTATCACAATATTTTTTTAGAGATGATTTCCTTTTGCCTTCATCTGAGGTTGAGAGAGTTTGATTTGCCAAAGGTCACCCAATGGTTTTCCATGGCTGAGGACATATCTGAATCCTGGTCTCCAGAGTCATTATCCTGTCCTTGAATGCTCCAGGTGCCACACCGATTCCTGATAATGTCTCTCTTTACACTGCACTCAAAAATGGGTTAAAAAACTGCCTTAGTTGTGTCCACAAATCCATCTGGGATTCTGAAAAACAAGTATTTTATAGTTAAATTGTGCAAAGCAGACCTATTGCCCATTTAAAAGGTGAATTGCTACCCTTTTAAATTGGTAATAGGTCAGAGAGGAGATAGAAAAATGTGGGCTGTGGAGATTGGAGGAGCCATGAAAACAACCTTGAGGACATGACCACATGTGACCCCGTAGGCTGCACTTTGCATACTTTTGCTTTATCTATGTCTGGAAATCTATCAGACATCCCTCTCAATGCTGTATTCCTTCCATACTTTCTCTGTGGTTTCTGTGCAGACTGTAGCCAGTATGTCAAATTTTAGAACTATCTACAATATCCAGGATGTATGCGGCATTAACAAATACACAATCTGGTTGTTGTGCTTGTCCTATGATCTGGTTATATTGCTGGTGACCAAGGGAGAGCTGGTGTCATTCTCTTTTGGGCAGCCATCGCCCGCAGGCTTGTCATGCCATCATTATGTAATCATGTGGCATGACACAGAAAAGAACAGAAATGGGACCTTGAAGTGGCAGGATGGGGTGGAGCAGATGGGAGGACTGATTTGGCACCCTGAAGACATTCCTGCCAACCCAACCAGTCATTGACACAAGTAAAAACCTGTGTCAAAACACAGCAGTTTGCAGTTCAAATGATAGGACTTGATGGCTCAGTGGCTCGAACTTGCTCTACCTGCGATAGACAAGATATTTACATGTTTTGCTGGTACCCACACAACTCTGAAAAAACTGTGGTAACAGTGCATAACTTTTATGCCAATCTGTCAGCCTGTATCAGCACAGGCTGCCATGCTCCAAAAAAGACCACAGGCTATTGTCAAGGTCTGGGAAAATCATCTTGAGTTTTGCCGGGGACACCTGGGGAACCTTAGAGGCTCTTTGCCAAATTTCAAGCTACAGAGACATGGGATTAGGAGTGCATGAAAGAGGCTCCTTTGTGCTGCAGGACAAGCTTGATTCTTTGTGCGCGCACACACACTCACACCCTCTGCCTCACCCCCATCACTCTGGCCAATCTTTCAACTGAGCTGTCTCTCAGTTATGCCACTGGCAGCCTGGGCCTCTTCTCCTCTGTTTGATTTGGGGGAAACAGGTGGTGCGGGTGACATGATGAGACAGGTAGGAGGCTATGTGAAACATGTGCATACTGTCAGTTATGCCTGGAATGAGATGCTTCTAGGTCATCTGTCTCTCACTGGAGGTGGGTGGGAGGATGGGTTGGGATACTGGAACCAACGTTGAGAGCCAGACTGTAGAAGAAAGGCTTGTTTGTTTCTCTGTTCCTGTCAATCCTTTGTGGCCCCCAATGCCACGAGTTAGAAAGCTACTTTTTGAAACAACATCTCAGAATCCCCCACCCAGCATGGCTATTTTCTGTGCTGACTGGATGAGTCTGGACATTGCACTCATCCCTCCGTATTTGCAGTTTTGACTTTTGCAGATTTGATTATACAGGAATTTGAATAAAGCTGTTCTCTCCAGGATTCTCTGGGTTCTCCAGTGTGATCAACTTCCTCTAAACATGCTGGGTTCTCCATGATCAACTTCCTCTAAACATGCTGGAGGAACTAGAGATTTCTAGAGAGAACACCTCTTTAGGAGTCTCTTCGTCCTCCAATGCAATTCTATGGTCAGCTTTCAGTAACCATTGTCTATAGAATCACATGGAAAGACCTAGAAATTCCTAGAGAGGTTCTCCAGGAATTCTCTCAGGTA